TAGGGCCCCTGTGAGCAGATTTATTTGAAAACTTTACCCTGCCAACACCATACCTGGCACCTCTCACTGATGTGACAGTGGAAACCACCTCCTTTGCAAGTGCTGAGGTTTTCCACTCAAATAGCCTGTTGACTTCATCTCCAGCAAGTCACTTCTGACTCGGCAGTGAGCTCTAATGCAGCCAAATCACTCTTACCACACCGTACTGTTCGTACAATCCCCTTATGGGCCCCTTCTATATTTCTCCACATGTGCAGCCAGTCCATAATAGTCACTTTCTTCGGGCAGCATTGTTGCCAAGAAGTCTGGGCATGAGCAGATACTCCAGGTCTTCTGAGGACACTCTGCAGTCATCATCCTGATATCATTCGGCTCTGATCCAGTAGCAGTTAACTCTCTCCATCCCCAGCTTCTTTTTGGCCAGTTACCTCACTGAGTGGTTTCTGTCTCCCAGACACATCACAGGGTCCCTTTAAACACAGACAACCTATGCCTTACAATACATGAATGTGCTCTACCATGACTTGTTTCTCCTCCCCAACTCAAACACACATGGCCTTACTCATTCTAACCATACCTTGTCCTTTGGCAGTGGCAGTGCTTATAACAGTAAAACCAGAACAAATCTAAGTGTCCAACAACATAGGATTAGCTACATATATCATGGTTCGCTAACATGATGGAATACTATTTGACCAATAAAAATGAGGCAGGGGATGATTATGTAATCACAAGAATAACAGCTACCTACATATTGTAAAGGGGGAAAAAAGTTACAAAAATCCATTAACTGAACACTATACAATAAGATGTTATTAATTATAAATCTCCAGATTATGGGATTATGTTCCCTTTTTTATTTCTATGAAAATGGATATGTATCCTTTTGAAAAAATACAACACTAAAATTAAGACAATTTGAAATGGCATATTAAAAAACGTATATGCTTTTCATAAATGTTGTGTCTCAGAAATTGTAGAGTCCACCATGATGGGCCTACTTTACCAGCAAAGCTGAATTTGCCCGGAGCACTGTGCAAAGTCACAATTCCCAGAGAATTAGACCTAGAGAGGTAAAGAGTTGGCCACTACCCTAGAAATGAGTACTGCCGGCAGTTCTAAATGAAGGCCTTAGAGTATTGGTTTTAAAATATTTAGCATTTGTATTTCAGTTGAAATCTTACTTATCATTCCTAATCTGGTTGAAGTAGAAATTGGATCCTCTAAACTCCCCAATTCAATCTCTCCCACTTCCACTCTTACCTTCTACCCAGGTTTTCATACCAGCTCCTGAAAGCAGCCTCGTAGGTTTCCAAATGACAACTTGATAAGAAAGTAGCAATTGATTTTAAGAAAGTCATTTCCACTGTGGCAACAGTTTTTGTTGATTCAGGGTGTGAAATCCAGCTGAAGTTATCTGTACTTCCCAAACACATCCTTTCACCTTTATGCACACCTGCATTCCTTGAGGTGTAACCTTCCTCTGACGTCAAAAACTTTCTTCACCATGTTCACCTACAACTCCTACAAACCCCAGATCCCTACTTTTGTCCTTTATGACCTCTAACACTATAGAGAAAAATTAAGCTTGTCTTCCCCTAGAGCACCATAGTAGTTTAACTATATCTTCTCATACTATTTTGTAACATGGTGTCCAAGCTGGGCTATGAATACTATTTAAATAAGTCCCACAGGTAGGATTGAAAACTCCTAGCCATGGACACACCTTCATGATGGGCCTGTTTGTATCTGCTGGTTTATAGCAGGGTGGAGGAATCTAGGTAGTGGCAAGGGAGAAGAATCAAATAATGACCATGATTACAGGCTCAGACAATATAAGGAATCCTCGTGTAAGGAGAAAGTGTGAGTCCCCCATGGGGGAAAACACCTCAAAAAAAGGAGTCTGGCTCAATAGGTTCAGCTATGGGGAGGAGGACAGCAACAGTTCCCAATGGAGAAGAAGGACCATTACTTGAAATCGACAGGCAAACTGTTGATACATGTACATTCTGGGGATAAAAGACTGTTTCCAAACAAAAGAAGTCTCTAAACATATCCAGAAAAAAATAGAATTCAGTGGATTGAAGTCAATATTCCAACTGGCAGCTGTAATCAGTCTACTTAAAACACCACAGGGCATCATGTCATATCCCAAAGACAACCACAGGACTAACCATGTTTAGGGCAAGGACCAGCAGGCATGGTGGGAAGCAGCACACCGGACTCTCTGTGCCCCAGAGGGGCAGCTAATAGTAAAGCAGGAGCAACTGGACATCCAATAGTCTGAACCAACACATGAGAATGGAAGAGACCCACCACGGATCTGATTTTAAATTAGGAACAGGAACAAGATGGGAGTGGAAGAGGAGATGCAGGTCCTGTCTTTAAAAGGTTGGAACTCAGCTCACAAACTTGAGATGGATGCATTTGTATCCACAAACCAGTAAGTGGGGGATAGTCAAACTATACATTCTATTCTTGTCATTTGTTTATATCACTGGGGATTGATATTATTCCGCCCTGTGTGTGTCTGTGATGCTATCACAGACACGAAAGGATGAGTTCAGAACTGTGACATGGTAATCAATTGATATGGAGGTATTTCCAATGGTAACATCGGTGTTTCCAATGGGAAACTTTCTATTCCAAGTTAACAGGAAGGATTCCATGGTTCTGCATATTTCATACATAAAATAATGTAAAGAATAATTTTATTTAAGATTTGGAAAAGGAAAAGATACACAAAGATCAAAATTTTGTAGCTTTGAATTAAGTTGGTAAGGAGGATATAAATGTTCATAAATCCAAGCACTTTAGTCTACCTTAGTTTCATATAGTATAAAGTCAAGACTGTTACAAACTAATTGATATGTATGTATTTCAAATTATCTGAACAGAGCACAGAATATACTTACTTTTCCCAAATTGTCTAAACCTTATTCACCATCCATTCCCACCCCATTTCTTTGATTCTGAAGTCCTACATGGAATAATACTATATTTAGAGTATACTTGCTTAGGTTCCAATCTATGTATTAAGTTTTATATCTTTTTGTTGTTGTTGTTGGATCATTTTATTTCTAATTCTGCTCTCTCAAAATCCAATATACACAGGTTTGCCATGGTGATTATTCCAAATGCATTGTGATTAAGAGATACTGATTATGCATGATATGGTTTAGCTTTCAGTTGCAAAAAATTAGCCCTGTTTTTAACTATAAAATCTTACCTATGTTTAAAAAATACTATAAAGTGGACTTGATATCTACAGAATATTGTAAAAAACAATAGGCAAATACATATTTTCAGCTGCTCATAAAACTTTTTCCCAAGTACAATATATTTTAGGCCACAAGGCCAATCCAAACAAATACAAAATTATTGAAATAATTCCTTATATCTTTTTGTTGTTGTTGTTTGGAGTTCAATCTCTGGTACCCACCCAAGATTTATATCTTAATGTTTTTAATTATTAAGTTAAGCCCCAGGGGATAAATGGCAATACCCCATGAATTAAAAATTCACATGATTTATTATAGTAACATGCATATTAAAATGTATAGGAGACTGAGTTAAAAATTTGCATCAAAATTGTATGTATGTACCCTTAATATTTACAAAGGTATTTGTCAAAATGTTGGTTTTTTTGGTGGAACCATTAAACCATATATTAATTACCCCTTCTACATTTGGGCAGCAAAGAGCTCAAAAAGGAGCATCTTAAAATAAGAATAAGTTTTACAAGATGTTCTGGAGTCTTCTCCAAGACCCACTTTTTTGAAATCCTTTATTTTGATTCCCACAGTCATCCTTACTGCTGGATACAGAGAAAAAAAAAATCCCCTTTAAAACTCCAACTCCTCACTAACTGAAATAAGATGCCATTAATTTATTCTCCTCACCAAAAATGTGCATTTTTAAAAAGAGAATTTTCACTTCAACAGAAAACACGATCATCACAGTCTGCTTTCAAAATAGATTTGTGGTTTTAAAGAGTCAAGAGATGAATTAAAGGATTTATATATTCCCAAATCTCTTCAGTTTAAGACAGATACACTTGGCTCTGGAGAAGAGGTGTAATTGGGAGTGCTTTTTCCTCAATGGGGGAGGAAGAGGCTCAGTGCCATCTTACTTCCTTGTCACCTGTGTCATTTTAAGTATAACAGCCCATCATCTCCCACCTAAGAACAAAGTGCAAAATGAGAGGCTCAGAATTCCTGATGGCCTCCAATTCAGTTTTGCTTTCATTTTGTGATTCAAGAAAGACTGAAAGGGTGGTTGGTGGTGCCCGACCCATAAATGATTGACTGGCTCTCGTAGTTACCCTGTCACTCTGAAGCATGCTTCTATAGCTCATTCTTTCCACCCCATCAGGAAGTGATCTTACAATATGTGCCCATTTCAAATGTATAGCATGACAAAACCTCAGCCAAGCAATAAAATATTATACAAACTATGACATGAAATTAAATGTAAACTAAAGGAATTTATGACTGAATAAACAACTGAATCACTCTGGAGGAATATGGTGTATCTTGGTTTTATTAGTGCAATCTTTGATTTTTGTATAATCCACAACTAAAAACACATAATTCTTTAAGACACAACTGTAATGGTCATAATAATTCCCATAACAAAGGTATCTGAACTACTTTTTAATTCATCTAAACTTAAAGATTTAAGACAATTCCTAGAAAAAAAAATATAAATCTTCAAGAACTAGATAATTTCCTTGTTAGGATAACCACTAAAGTTTTTAGCATTAAATATTTGACAAATGTATTTATTTATCAGTACTACCAAAATGCAAACAAGAAATAACTGACTATCAAAGGAGGTTTAAAAATAGTTATGTTCAGATATCTTCATTTTCAATCTTTTATCAGTAATGTTAACCCCAAAAAATGGTATCATCGAACCTACCATCAAAAAACAGAGTAGCCGAAAGATAAAACATATATCAAACTTTAAAAAATATTTATATTCAGGAGAATACTTACTCTCTTCACTTCCTCTGAGGGGATATATCCTGATTTTTTCAATTATATCAACCAAGATCAAGGATAACAGAACCAGGGACACTGGGAGATCAGGTAAGGCATCAGGCAATAAATCTGCAGAGCCATTGATGTTCTTTTGAACCTGTTTTTAGAAAATCAATTAGACTCATTCAATGATTGTGCTTTTTTTTGGTTGTAGATAAACACAATATCTTTATTTGATTTATTTATTTTTATGTGGTGCTGAGGATTGAATGCAGTACCTCACACATGCTAGGCAAGTGCTGTTCCATTGAGCCACAACCCCAGCCCTGATTGTGCTTTCTTTATTCAAAATTCTTTTAATACTCTGCTAAGAGTGCTAAGTTAATTATAAACACATTTTATGAAAAATTTAAAGTTTGGTTGTAAGCTTCTCGAGTTTTAAACTGCACAAGGTTTGAACCATTTCCTAAGAGGGAATAAGGGTTCAAACAAATTGAAGAGTTTTTCATTGTAGATGAAGCTTAGTAAATGTGTGCAAAAATATAATAGCCAGTTCTCAGTAATAGTGCAATGGTCAATCCTTCCAAATCCACTGCTAAACAGAGCTTATTGGCCTTTTAGATCTTCCAAGGAGGGAGAGCCCAGGTGAACCCAACTTGGCTTTCTTCCTTAATCTGCAGAGAAGGTACCTAGAAAAAGCCCTTAGCAAGCATCATATTAATGGTGAAATGTTGAAGGTTTTCCCATAACCATTTCTATACAGCATTGTACTGGAGGCCTTAGCCAGTGTAATAAGATAAATATATATATATATACAGGTTAAGTACTGAAAATGAAGACAAACAGTATCATTATTTATAGACTAGATGATTATACATGGAGAAAATTCCTCAGAATGAATGAATTATTTCTAAATACCAATGACCAAGAGTTAAAAATGAGACTTTTGAGAAAAGGATATCATTCAATGCAAATTCAAATGCTGTTTGAATTTTTGTGGAAAATAACAAGCATTCTTAAAATTTATGTGGAAATACAAAAGGAAAGAAATTCCAGAAGAAAAAGAAGATAGGACAATTTGCTCTTCTGGGTGTGCAGAACCATTGTAAAGCTATAAGAATGAAGACAATGTGGTGTTTGTTAGCCCAGGAATTAAAAAGCAGGCAATGGGGTATATCAGACAGCCTAAAAATCCCAGGTTATGTGTATGTGCATCTTATATCAAAACCAAGACTACAGAGAAATGTGGGAAGGGTGGGCTTTTTACTAGATGATGCTTAGTTCATTGGATGTTATTTGCAAAAAAAAATAAAATAACATTTGGCTCTCAAGTATACAACATATACAAAAATCAGTTCCAGATGGACTGTCAGTCCAAAAGAGAATGAAAAAGTAACACAGCCTGCGAAATGTAAGAGGGTGGAATGTGTTTATGACTTTGAGGTTCAGATTTACAGTACAACAAAATCTTCTCAAATATGTGACCAGAAGCTTTATTCATAAAGAAAATAAACTGATAAATGGGTCTGTTTTTGAGTTAGGGACTTCTGTTTATCAAAAGATATCAGTAAGAGTATGAAGGGAAGTCAAGAGCACAAATCATAACCAACAAAGGCATTGTAATCTGAATGTGGAAAAGACACTTTCAAATCAACTCAAGTGTTGGTAAGCATGCATAGCAATAGGAATGCTCATTCTTTGTTAGTGGGTTCTGTACTGTTAAGATCTCTTTGGAAACTAGTTTGGCACTAGTTGTTGACAAACACTTCAATATCTTATGACTCATCAGTTCTACTTCTATGAATTTAACCAAATGAAATATGCCTCATGTGTACAAAAGACTTGTGTAGGATGTGCACAGTGGCATTATTTGTAATAGCCAAAACTGGAAACATCTGAAATGAATATCAAGTTAGAACTGATAAATAACTTGAATTATTGGACTGGGCTTGTCTGTGTTGTGTTATTCATTACTATGTTGTGTTATTCATTCATTCATTTATTAATTGTAATATCTTCTTTTCTTTTTTTTTTTTTGTGGTACTGACGAAAGGACTCAGGATCACATTCCCAGCCCTTTTTTAGTATTTTATTTAGAGACAGGGTCTCACTGAATTGCTTAGTACCTCACTGAGTTCTGAGGCTGGCTTTGAACTTGCAATCCTCCTGCCTCAGCCTCCTGAGCCGCTAGGATTATAGGCATGTGCCATTGCATGTAGCCAACTGTAATATCTGCATGAAATGAAACAGTGAACAGCAACGAACTACAGATACATTTAAAAAAATGGATGACTCGATTACTATGTATGACAATTATGATGCTCTAACAAAAAAAATATTTAAAAAAAAGAATGACTTTCACAATCACACTTTTGAATAAAAGAAGCCAGTCATGATTTATGTTTTATATATATATAAGATCATATATATATATATATATATATATGTTACATGATAATATAGACAGAGATCATATGTTCATTTACATATAAAGGACATTTAATTTGATTTTTCATTAAAAATTAATTTTAAAAGAAGTAAACTTATGAGGTAGAAGTTAAGGTAGAAGTTACCTTTGGGGAGAAAGGAAAGGTCATCATTGAGAGGAGCATGGTTTAGAGTGGGCTCAGTTTTATTTCTTGACCTCAGTAGTATTTGAACCAGGGTTTGCTTTGTGTTACATCACTATGGTACATTTATGCTTTGTGAACATTTCTGTTTGTTACACCTCAGTGAAAATATAAGAAAAAGAGGAAAGAAAAATAGGTAACAGGGGGCGATAGATAGATCATAGAAATGAACCAAAAGGGCCATCAAACTCCAGATATAAGACCATTTTACTATAGTGGTTTTTCTTGGGAGGTTGTAAAGTGAATTTGCAAAGCTCTTGGAAATCTCCCAAGTTACTCTCTTCCTATTTCTCAGCAACTTGCAAATTAGTAAGATTAGTGGAGCATTCCAATTTGACCTTCTTGGAAAATAAAAGGTTCACAGACTACAAGTAGTACCCACAATATTCCTACTTATGGATGCCCATCTAAGTCCTTTTTGTAGCCATATTTTGTCAAAACATAATGTCATTTTTAAGTAGACGTCAGGTGCAAAGCGTTTATCCAGGGATTTTTTTTTCTTTTTTTATTTCCCCCGGGAATTGAGTCCAAGTTCACTTAACCACTAAGCCACATTCCCAGACCTTTTTTTTTTTTTTAATTTTGAGGAAGGGTCTCACTTAAACTTGCCATCCTCCTGTCTAGCCACCCAAGTCACTGGGATTAAGGTTGTGCTACACCACACCTAGCAACTGTGTTGTTATTTTAAAAAAAAGAAACAGAAGTTTACAAAAATATAGTCTTTGGGTGAATAAA